GCACCACTCCCTGGCGCCCCATCCCTGAGGTGCCCAAGGCCATGGATGGGGTCCTGGGCAGCCTGAGCTGATGGGGACACCAGGCCCACGGCAGGGCTTGGGAGGGGCTGCAGCATCCTTACAGCCCAGCCCCGCTGTGACTTCACATTTCTCAGCCCTGTCAGGAAAGTCAGACTTTTTTTTTTAAATATCCCATAATAAGTGCTGGTTTGACATGAGCAACGATGATCGTTTGATATAGCAAGGGTGAGAGACTAATTAAAACCAGAGCTTTATGACTTCACTCGGCTGCTGCAAGATCTGGCTGCCTGGGCTTATTTATATAAGTTTTAAGTGTTTTATGCAAATTTAGTGCTCATGAAAGGCCCTGAATTTCCAGGCATGGAGAGGAAAGCACTCTGTTTATTCACAGCGCTGCTGCAGTCAGCACAGGGTCTGCCCAAAGCCCAGAGTGTGGGCCAGACCCTGGAGGGATTCCTGCGGATCCAGCTGGGCTGATTAAGGTGCTGCTGTTTTGACATCAATTTCCATCCACATCAATGTGCTGTGGCTACACATAGTGACAAATGGGGGCTCTGGAACTTGTTCATATTTAGCCAAAGCAGCTCAAAAGTTTATTGCTCCCACCTGCAGGGACCAGAAGGTCTTTGCCAGGAACTCTTGAAGCTGGCAGGGTGCACAATGTGATGTCCTTCCTGCACGCGGGGTGCAGAGCTATGTCTGCACCAGAGGTTTCCACTGGCTTTACTGCAGCAATCAAAAGCCTAATTAAAATTAAAACGAAGGCTCAGATTTTGCAATTTCATCTGCTTTTCCAGTGATGCGATGCAAATGGGAGAGAATACAATACCTGGAATGAAGCAGAGAGGCTGTACACAAGGCAACAGCATTTAGAGGCAGAGGGTCTGCTGGGGCTGTGCTGATAGCATGTCAGGCTCCCCAGGGCACAGAGCAGACTGAGCTGGATTCCCCCATCATTCAGCTGTTGTGCTTGCCTTCAGTGTCTGAAGCTATAGCTCCAGCTCTTGTCCTTAGGTGCCCAGGCCTTGCAGAGAGCTTGGTCCTATACGAGCAGCCTTCTTGCTTCTGCATGGCCCTGAATGCACCCAGTGTCCTGCTGTAGTTGCTGGCTGGCACAGGGCACCTGCTGGGGTCAGCTAACGTCCCACCAGGGACATCTCCCCACCCTGAGGGCAGACCCAGCAGCAGGGAATTCCTTAACAATTCAACAGGGTCTCACTGTGAACCAACTCTCTTCTCAGAGCTCAGCCCAAGCCTGCAGCCCTCTCCCTAGGTTTCAGCACTGCACAGCCTTGGAAGCTGTGTTCTGCCCGCCAAAGCTCCCTGCAGGCATCCAAGACAAACAGAGAAACAGAAATAACCTACAAGCTCCAAGCACCGCCTAATTACTCCCAACAGCTTCCTTTCTTTAGGAATAGACACAATATTTCCTTTCCTCCCTAATTCCCAGGGCAGTTTGGAGGATTAATTAATATTGGATACACATTTGGGTCTGACACAGTTCATAAACAGTTACTATTAATCATACTGGAGTTGATCAGCTCTGGTTTAGCACAGCCTTGTCAGCCACTCTCACATCTCAGTGCTGATCAGCTGCACTGCGCCTCAGCCCAGGACCAACCATCGGGGCCTGCCCTCTGGGGGCAAATAAACTTGTTCCAGACCATTCTTTAGGGTGGAAGGGCACTCACTGATTGCTCTCCATTACCTCTGGAGGGACCTTATGAGATGCTTTGCTTGCACAGGACTGATGCCACTATGCCCCATGTAGTGACAGGGATTGGGTGAAGAATGGCATTTGCTTGGCAGTTCAGTTACATGGTTCATCTTGTAAAAAACTAGTAATAGGAAAAAGTAAAACTGAGTGAGATACACAACAGATGAGGTAAAACTGCGACACATTTACCCCACTCTTCCCCTGCAATGAGGTGGTAGAATAAGCTGACTTTCCCCAGCTATAGATAGACCAAGGCATGTCCTATATCCTGCCTGCAGAGCCAAGCAATGCTGGCTCAGCATTAGGCTGGCAACCCTCCAGAATTGGATTTCCAATTAATAGCGTCGACTCATCACAGAGAAGATCAGGTCTTAGTTGAAGGTCAGGGAAATTCAGGCAGCGCGGGGCAGATTTACACCACTGAGGTTCCCAAATCACCTGCAGCACACAGGAGAGAAGCCGAGCCTGATGCGTGAGCCTCCTGCCCAGCAAGGGGAGTGGTGGCTTCGGGAGACCTCAGTGTGACTGATCCCAAACCTAAAACCCTCCAGTGCTGCAGGGATAAAGCCCTCTTTCCCCACGCCATAATGGGATGGAAGGGCAGTTCTGCCCTCCACAAGCAAAAGCATACACCAGCAGGACTGAAGGTGAAAACAGCCACAGGGGCATTTAGACAAGCTTAAGGAGACTCAGCTCGCACCCAACCTCTCTCCATGATGGAGGGCTAAGATCACCCAGATGTCCTTAAAACACTTCCCATACAGGGTGGAGTCCTGGGAAATGAGGGCACAACAGGAGCCACCCACCATTGGCATTACAGCATTTCCCATTCTCCTGTTTGGGCAAAGGTTCAAGATTTGAAGTCGGAGGGGAGAAGGGGGAGGAGGAGGTACTTTATTTATAGCTGCACATTCATTTGATTAAGAGCCGTTTCTGAAAGATTTGCCTGAAACAATGCGAAGGGAAGGGGAGGGGCAGCGAGGGACAGGAATCTCACAGCATCCAGGGAGACCTGCAGAGCCTGGGAACTGCCTGCACTCCCCCAGCCCCTGCTGCAGTAGTTGAGCAGAGCTCGTTTCCAGCCAGAAGACACAGCAGTGCCCAGAAGGTGCTTTCTTGGCTCTGAAGTCAGGACCGTTGTTCTGGAAAGATGGGATCCCTCAAACGCTGGTTTCACTCCAGGGTTGGAGAACGGCTAAATTTCCCAATGAAATGACCACAAATCCAGCTGCTGAGACTGCCCAGACTTCTCCTTCTCAGGGCTGCTGCAGCCTTGCAGGACAGCGTGATCACCTCATGGATATTTTTCCATCATAAATTCACACATCAAAAAAATCAATTAGCTACCAGTGTTGTTGATTATAAATTAGCTATTTACATAATTAATTATTATATCTTTAATAAATGGTATGCAGGAGAGGAAGCTGGCAAAATACAGCCGTTCTTCTGGCATCATCAATTATTTGGAAGGGAAGGCAATTACACTAAATCTTCCTTCCTCCTACCTCTCTTGTCAAGGGAAATACCTCCCCCTCCTTCTTCCGATTTGGAGCCTGGAACCGGGCCTCCAACATCACATTACTAAATTGCTTAAGCAGCATTTTAAATAACAAAAAGGGATATCATTTAATTTTTTTTTGAAACATGAAAATCAATAAGCCGCCCTTCAGCTTCCCTGAGTGATTGGCCAGGGCTGCCTCTCTCAGCTAATTCAATTTCAGTCTTACTTGGAGAACCGAGGCTTCAAAAAACAACCAGGCTGATCTCCCAGGCCATGTGAGGCTTCATCGAGGAATTCCTTTCATGGAATCAGATGTCCTGCCCTTTTTGAGGGGCATTATTTGGAGACGGGCCCCGATCAATAAATCCTTGCTGATACTTACAGCTGTGCTGCATGGTTTTGATTCTTGGCATGTTTGTGTACAGTGAGCTGGAAACCAACTGCTGGATGGAACCCCACTGACTTGGGCTGCACTGAACAGACCATCCTTTCCGACAGCTACGCTTCAAGTGTGTCTCTGATGCGGGAGCAGCCTGTGTGCCTTTCCTCCTGCCATGGAGGAGCTGCGAGGGATCCAGGTGTGACACTGACAGGAGCTACACTGATGTCTCAGAGAGGGGCAGGAGGAAAACAGGCCGTTTCTTTACAACGGCTTATAAAGCCCAGTGGGAAATGATGGGTCTGAAGTTTTGTAGGAGAATTAAACAAACACAAATCAGCTGCGGACGTTCTGACATCAGCCACATTGGGTCACACAGCACACAGGGAGACTCCTGTTCCGTTCACTGAGATTATAGGCGAATTCATCAGAATCCTACTAGTTTCACCTCATTACAGCCATCCACCCCAGAGCATGAAAGATACTGCGGTTATTAACTGGATGACTAGCACTGCCCCAATTTCCAGATGAGCTGGAACAGAAGTGAAGGTGGCTTCCCACAGGGGCAGGTGCTGGAACAGCAGAGCAGTGGCCTAGTTACTAGCTGCTTTATCCCCATGGGAGATTTCTCCCTCAGTACACATCTGTGTGTTTTCAAAAGGCTGTGCGTTTATACAGAGCCCAGTCATAACAGAGCAAATTTGAACATCCACTGTACCACCATAAACAACACTCGGTTTGAAACATTTTCTCCATCTTTCAAGATTATTGCAGCATCTGTTGATCACATTAAGTTGTAAGTGTGCTGTCTCCATGGAGACTGCAGAGTCTCCCTGGGTTCCCAGTTACTGTATGTGGTTTCAACTGAAAGCAGAGTCACCCAGTGAGTCAATCTCTGTTCCGTATAATGAAAGCAAAGGAAGTCACTGGGCTGACTGTTGGTTACGTTGGATAATGAAGCTAGATTTATCACTAGGATTTCTTAAAGAGACACTGGTATGGAGGTGATGTCTCAGATGGGGATTGGTGTAAGGTTCTGTTGTAAGGCTGTCCTTAAAGACAGTAGGGATACTTCTTCCTTAAAGGAACGTCCACGTGTCCGTTGGAAAACTCTCCCCAAGAATTTGCAGAACAACCATGAAATAACCAGAAACTATCTCGTGAAGCAGCTGCAGATAACAGCCACTCTTCAAGTGGAAGAAAGTTCACAGCTAAAACCTCTCTCACTTTTAATCAGCCTCGGGGCTCCTTGCAAGAAAGGTAAGGAATATGTTTTTTGTAAAGGAACAGGGCTGAATTCAAGAGCTCTCAGCCAGCATGCAAAGTGACAACAGCAATGAGGAAACTCAGTTAATTTGGCTCGCAGACTTCATTCTGTCAAATGGTTGGAAGAGCTTTTAATTCTTGTAAAGGAGCAAAACCATCATAACATCTGAATTCATATCCTGCAGAAGGCAAATTAAACACCGAGTAATGACAAAAATGAATCACCCCTTATGTAGCTACGTTATAAATGAATAAACACTCTTTTCTCCCAAGCTATGAAAGCAACAGAAGCTGACCAGTCTTCACACAGGGATTTGATTCACACAGCTTTCCTGCAGAGAGAGGGAATCTGAACTGATGAAAGAAGAATCTCAGTTCCTTACTGCACTCATGTTTCCAGACAGATCATCATCTCTTTCCCTTCTTTTCCCCATTCTTGCCCAACTTTTCTCTGCACCTTCCACCTGCAGCCTCTGTATGAATTGGACAATTGGAGCCATGAGGTCACCGCTGCCCAAGTATGAACACAGCCAGAAAAGCCACGATCCAAACGACCACAGCCTTTCCAGGTGACTGCTGCCACACTCTCCTGGTTGGTGGCGTTGCACAGGTGTTGCAGGAAACAGGAGCATTGATTGCTTCGGAGAAACAGTGGGAGCACACAATACTGCCTCAGAAAATTTCAGCTCGGTGCCCTCATGCTTGTGGACAAAGCAAGCAGACTCTGTGTCGTCATCCGAAGCCACACGACCCAGCATTCTCATTTCCATCCCTCCATATGGTCCCAGCAGGACACCTGGCTTCATCTTCCTTTCGCAGAGACTGCCCTTCCCCTCGTCCCTCCCATTTTGAAGGCATGGAAATGGAGGTGTTACACAGCCTTGGCTGTGCAAGCAGAAGTGCCACTACCCTGCATCTATTTAGAACAGGGTACAGCAGCTGTGTGATTCATCAGTCTGAGACATCTTGCCCTTGAACTGGTGTGAATGTCAGCAGCGGTCACTGGACTCGTCTGAAACGATGCTCTCTATAATAACAATATTTCATGCTTTCCACCTCATTTATACCCAACTCTTAGCAAATTAACACCAAGCAAAGAACTCAGCAGCATTGCTTGCCACAAGATGAGGGGCCCTTTAAGGGGTGCTGAGATTTGCTGTGCTTACAGGCAGACCAAACCCCTGAGATGATTGAGTGTGGCATCCCAAAAGGAGAGGAGGGAACACAAATAAACACACTGTTCTGCTCCAAATGAAAGAGCTGCTGGATTTAATGTGACAGGGCCTGGGATGCTTCATTTGACACAGACTGGCAGCAGTCTGGTGATTGGCAAGCACTTGGAATAACCGCTCTCTGTACTGTCATAACATCGCAAGATCATCTGCAGAGCAGCCCAGCCAGCCCCAAGCAAAGTGTGGGATCTGCTGGGCTGTGGATAGAGATGAAATAAGTTCAGTGTCTCAGGACTCTCCATTGACAAGAATTGGAAGGAGGCAACCCGCAGGGTCCAGATCACACATACTCATCTGAGCTCTTGAACGCTGTCAAGGTTTTCCTATCTCTGGGAAGAGCAATTCTAGGCCATTCAGAACAACAGCCTTGTTGCTTCTCGTGTTTATCCACAAACAGGAAATCCTAGAGGAGGCAGGAAAAGGAGTTTAACCAAACCACCCTCAATATTATGCTGCAGAGAACTGACTCTGCCCTACCAGGCTGCAGCTGGGTTTTCACAGCCTTGTGCTGCAGCCTCACTTTGTTTCCAGTACCACAGAATCACCAAGGTTGGAAAAGACCTACAAGATCATCCAGTCCAACCATCAAGGTACCAGGTACCGCCAGCAAAGCTAACAGCACTTCACTGCCCAGGAGGGTCCTGAAAGAAGGCAGGTTCTACAGCAAAGAGCCAGCCCAAGGCTAGAGTGCTTGGCAGAAGGGTTTGATCCGGGGTAGGGAGATGAGGAGACAGGAGCAGGGTGGAGGACAGGGCCTGCTGCTCCTGCAGGCACTCAGAGAACGTAGGGCCCTCTCCCTGACAGTGGCAGCCCCATAGTCCCAAGCTCTCCCTTAGCAACCTTGGCCAGCAAGTCAGAGGTGCTGCAGAGAAGAGGGTCAGGGCTGTCTCATCTTGGCAGCCTACAGGCATAGTCCTATGTAGGTACAAGCAAGGAGTTGGACTTCGCTGTTGCAAAAGCTGTTCTACCGAAAGGACACCAGCAAGAGAAAAGCTCTACTATGGGAGTTCCCAATCATGGGCTCACTTGGGCAACACAGCCACCAGCAAAAGTCTCAACCCTGCCACGAGCTGCGCATTCCTTTCTCACAGAGGAGTAGGGCAAAGGCAAACCTTCCCCCAAATGCCATTACAGCATCCCTAGTCGAACCTAGCAACACCCCAGGGATCTTATCTGATGAGACTCAGAGGCAGACCAGCTATTACTTCTGGGAATAACAGATGTACCTTTTTCTAAAGCACTCAGCTACCAGAGGGCAGCAAATAGCTCATGTTTCTATAGAAAATGCCACCCTCACAGAGTTGTGCAGTGCAATACCAAAGCTGCTGTGCCTAGGCTGCTGGGCTTCAGATGGGATGTCTGCACACACTTTCAGATAGATGTGTCTGTTGCTGAAATTAAAACACAGCTATACTCCTCATTGCCTCTTAGCAAAACACCATACCTCCCATTCTTAATTACACTGTAGTTGCTGAGCCAAGATGGTTGTGAGCAGTGCAATGTTAGAGCTGTTCTAGCCTGGGCATTGCCTCCTGCTGCAGCTCTGCTGGGCGTTGCTTTCCTCTTCCTCTGGCTGCGACAGCAGAGCAGCTGTTTGGGTGGGAGAGCATTTGTGCCTGAGCAGCGGTGTGGTTCAGTTGTTGCCCAAGCTGTATTTATGGTTCTTAAGGCTCTAAGCTGGCAGCAGCAGAACAGGGTGGTTTAAAAAGCTGTGTCTGGTTCCCGAATCACATTCAGTTTGCAGTGTTGGGAAATTATGTTTCAAAACAAGCCAGGCACCAGCTTCCTCCTAGGTTAATCTGCACCGCTCCTGCCTTGCGTGTTTTGGAATATTAACAATGCTGCAGCAGCAATGCAGTGGCTGCGAATCCTTCCTGCTAACTGCGCTTACAAGAAAGAAAATTATGAGGCCCGTCTGCACTTTGGTTACCTATGGCTACACCAGCTCTGCATCTTACTGAAATTAAAAAGAAAAAAAAATGCAACATATCCAAAAAAGAGAACCTGACAATTTGCCTGTGGATTATTTTCTTTGCCCATGAGACGCCTTCATTTCCTCTGACTGAAGTCTTCCAAGCCAACGGTGTTAAGAGTACTAGGAAAAACATTGGTTCCTGTTACTTAAAGATAACTATTTTTTTTTTTAAAGGGCAGCTGGTGAAACCTACAACCCCAGTTGCTAAAATCAGCATCATCTGTTATTTCCCATACCATCACAAAATGTTCCATTTTATCTGAGCTAAAAACAGCTTTTCTCTGCTGGAAGCATGCAAATATCATTCCTTCATAAAGAAGCCACCAGATGGGAACCTAATAACTGTAGACTCTAATTCTCACTGCCTGGAGTTGCTAAAAGCACCAAAGTTTGAAAATCCTTGTTTATACCCTGCTTATTCAGTGGTTTAAATATGTTTCCATGCTCAAGCATCTGGTCTGCAGCCAGGCTGTTTCCCTGTTCGGGACATGGGACAAAATGCCCAGCACTTTTTTTGGCTCTCTTTGGATCTTTCTGCAAAAAGGAGATTTACATGGCATAATTGCTCTGAAGGTGAGCTGGTGGGAGTGCATCAACTCCACAAAAGCTGCCCTTTCTCCCTGTGCTTATTTTACTTGCTGTTCACTTTTTTTGGAATATAAAGTCCATCCCCCCACACCAAGATGCCTGTGAAGCGAAGCAGACATTTTTCTGCTCTTGTGAAAGTATGTGGGAGAGAAAATTTTATTGGAGTTTTATGGATGCCTAAATGGCTCTGCTGTAGGAGGGAAAGAAAAAGAGCACAGGAAGGAGATGGACAGCAAAACACAAAGCAAGAATGATACCCCTCTGTGCTCAAAAATGTAGACAGGGGAATACAGAACCCAGAAACAGCAGAAGAAATAAATTCTTCACGGATCCGTTTATAACCAGAGCAAGTGTTTGCTGTGCAGGGAATAAAAGCAGGCACTGACAGGGCAGCTTTCACTTGTTAATTCTAACTAACCTCCAGAGCTCTCAGAGCATTCTGGTACTGGCTGGGCATGCCTTTGTGTGCAAGCGGCTTTCAGCAGCCTGCTGCTGTGCCAGACTTCACTTTGTCCCGAGCTCCTGGCCATGAAAGCCTCACCTTTGTTCCATTGCATCTTTTAGGCAAGGATGGTCTCCTCCATGCCTGCACAGAACTCAGCACAGACCCCTGCAGAGGTGCACAGCTGCTAGGAACGTTGCTCAGCATGCTCAATCCAAGCAAAGAGAGGTTTCCTCCTGCCAGGACTGCTCTGCTGATGCCCATAGTGCTGCTGGCCCTAAATTCCACTGAGAAGGCCACAGTAGGATTTCAGCCTGCCACCATCTCCTCTTCAGCTACTGCTACCTTCTCATTCCCCAACATCCTGATTTAGATCTTTAGGAGATTAATCCAGAAAGAGAGGCTTGAGACTACGTCTAGCCAGTAAATGATAATTAAAACCTTCTAAAACTATCATCAGCCTCAGCATCCTGGGGGTACAGAGAAGAAAGAAGGGGAAGCAGGGAGGGAGGGGGGAAGCGTTTCAGACTCACATCTAACCTGTTTTCCAGATGAGTTTTTCAATGATCAGATCCAATCTACCGTAAAAACTTCCCAGGGAGAGAAACCCTCAGTGCATGAACCAAAAATGTAATGATCTGGGAAATGTATTCCTCTTAAGGGGGAAGAAAACTGTGGTTTCACCTCTGTGCTCCCACTTTTATTGATCACAAAGTGCACAGATTTCTGCACTAGAGAGGGGGGAGGCTTGGTAGCAGAGCTGTACACTGAGGCAGCTAATGGCACAATGACCAGGCCCTCAGACGCTGCCCTTGGAGTGGCTGCCGACTGCACCAGTCACGATGTCTGCCTGCTCCACTCCCTCCTGAAATTAAGCACCATTATGGACTGTACCAGAAAAAGACTGGCTTAAAGGCATGGCTTAATAAGCCTGCAGCAAATTTTGTCATCATTAGCTAACACATTTTTACATATTTTTGCCATTTGTAGAAGTGTCCACTCCTTTGGTGACTTTTAAGTGCCTGTTGTCAGTGGCTTCCTGTGGCAATCAGTTTCACAGTAATTACACCATATTTTAAGAAGCTCTTCTATTTTTATCAGTTTATGCAGTTCGGGCTACATCTGCGCTTCCAACTTCTGTTAAAAGGTCCAGTCCCTGATCAAAGCAGCCGTGCCACCAAGAATCCCCACGTGGCCACATCAGCCCCTGGAAGTCCCTGCCTCCATTAGCAGAGTGCTTCCCTGGGGCTGGCAGAGCTCAGCGTCACTGCGTGGAAATGCTGCCTGCAGGGGAAATGCCGCTGCTGCAGTGGCCAGACTCATGCTGGAGGTCTAGATTTCATAGGAGCAATGCAAGCAGAGTTCATCATTGATGCTGGACTGGAACAGCTACCAGCTCAAACAGCAGGAGCTCACAGGCATGTGAGCTGCCATGCAAGGACAGTAAGGGGAAAGGAGCGATGACCCGGCTGGTGCCTGGGCCCTGGGTAACTGCTGGTGCACAAAGTCACACCACGCAGCCACCTTGGTCAGTTTTAAACACCACGCGAGAATCAACTCCTTTGTAACTTCACAACTACCTTGTAGCAAAACATCTTCACCGCTGTAATTAGGAACTGCAGCACCCTGACCTGTTAGGTTCACCTGCTCCTGACTGCCAGAACAGGCAGCAGAGGAGGGTCACTTTGAGTCACAAAAGACTCAGAGGAGGCTTTTGGTGTAACGGAGTGGGAGAAGTCTTCAGTCTCTGCACTGAAGACCTGAAAACATGCGGGGAGCAGGCTGTGGGGAGGTGAGGGGTTTTCACATAATTCCCAGCAAATCCCTAATCTGGTTCTGTGCCTGCTGACGCACACTCCCCATTGCTCTTCCCCCACCTGGTCCCAAAGACCTGTGCTCGGGTTGGTCGTACCTCACAGCATCAGAGCAGAGAGGACTGCATGCTGCAGCCCAGGACTACACAAATACAACAGGACTTAAGGAGATTCTCTACCATCCTGAGAGGGTGGCATGCGGAGAACTGGGGCTTTGCTGCCCAATCCCACTCAGCCTCAGTCCTCTCCCCACATGGAGCTGACCCACTTCATAAATGACGCACTCTTCCTTCTGTATCCAAACGCCACTGTATCATTTAGCACTCTCCGTGGGCTAATTTTCTCCCCCAGGGACAGTAGATTAGATCCCACAATTTCTCCCTCCCCCTGAGTTTTCAAAAGGTCTTTCAACTGTAATAAACTCAGGTACTTACACATCAATCTGCCTTACCTGGAGCACATGATATAGAGGCCTGGGTCATAGCAACATCATTATAGTGAATTTTAAAAGAGAGCAATGGGAATAGATAGAGAAATAGTCCTTCCTGTGCGGTGCCCTTTCTATCTGTACACTGAAGCTTAGAAAGTTCCTCCAGAAATACAGTATTTCTCACCAGAGCTGGAAATATTGAGGTAAGCACCAACTGATCCTCTGGAGCTAAACAAACTCTTTTCCCCCTTAAACTACAGACACTTGCACATTGCTTTGGCTCCTGTCTTCTGCTGCTTCCTCCTGCTCCTTACTCCCTTGAAGATGCTGCACATCTGCAGTCACTGCTTTTCACTGCTTTGTGCTGCATTCTATATTGCCAAGGACAGCATAATGTGACGGAAAAGAGAGGTCACAGCCTGGCTGCCCTTGGGAGCAGCACCAGCCCCCGTCCATATTCTGCACTGTAGCACCTCAGCTCCAAGCAGTTGGCTCGAAGACACTGAGGCAGATTATTTTATTTATGCACTTGCTTAACATTTTGCTGGACTGATTGCTTGAACTGGGCCAAAAAAAGAACTCCAAACACTTGCAGAACTCCTTGCTACAACGCCTGATATCCATTTACCCAGTTCCTGAACAAAATAGCACAGGTAGTACATGCTTCTGACTGAAGAGAACACCAAACCACATAAAAGGACCTCAGAAGGGCTCTCTCACCAGCCATCAGGTCAGGCCATTACTGCAATAAGGGTATTTTACTGCTGCATTCACAGGCTGATCTAAAATTCCTCTCCCATTAGGCGATGTACAAACACGCTCCAAAAGGTTTATGATAAAGGATACGAGTGCACACACAAGTGTCTTGAGGCATCCAGCCCACATCACGGCTTGGGCGGCCTGACGCACTGCCCAGGGCTCTGTATTACAGACCAGCTGTGTGGTGACCAGCTTTCACCTCAAAATTCCTACTCACCACAGCTTTCATACTGGTTTATAAAGGCATTTTAATGCAGCGACTTGCCTCTGAGGACGAAAGTGCCTGGCGTTTGTTTAAGTGTCTTTATTAGACCTGAAACAAATACTGCATCATTTAACTTTGAGGCTTTTGTTGCTGGTATCAGTTGTGTTCTGCAAATCACAGACTCAAGACTGCATCTAACCCCTAATAAGCAAGCAAACTGCTATTCGTCCACCTCCCTGCTTTCCCCTGGCTGCTGTTATCTCTGTGTGAGACTGGGAATTGAAGGAAAGAATGACCCAGTGATTGTCTAAATCAGCCCAGCTCTAATTTACTGGAATATGGTTTGAGCAGCTAATGTAACACCTACTGTGAGCAAGATGGAGCTATCTCCAGGACTTCTGTAGGCTAGGAACATTCACTTAAATGGCATTGTCTGGCTGCACTCACTGGAGGGCCCGCCGTACCGCAGAGAGCAGTTAACCCTTGGAATGGGAAATTAGGTCAAAAGAACCAAGCTCTCAATTGCAATTGGAAAAGTTAACTTTCTGCAGAAAATTGGGTGTCCTGTTTGCCTCTGACACTTTCTCTGCTCCTCATGTAGCAAATAGCTCGAGCAATTACAGCAGGCGGGTAAACAAACAGCAGTGAAGGCGTCCTCGGGATGCCCTCGATCTGGCAGGAGCTTTCCCCGCTTCCCCAGCCCTTGCTGATACAGTTACACAGTGTTTCCCAGGGCTGGATTAAGCAGTTGGTCTCTTCCTAGACAGAAAGGGGTTGTTTTTTTCCCCTTCAAAATACTGGTTGAGTCACAACAGAAGTCAGCACTTTCCCCGGCCCTGGTTCAGAATTGGGCTCCCCCAGAAACCACCTCCGTCCTTCAGCTCCTCACAGTGAGGTGCAAACAGCAGCTCCTCCCTCACCTGCTGTCCAGGATGCTGTCCATTTCGGGGAAAATTCTGGGTTTTGTCCTGAGAAGTGCCTCATGACAGCAGCACCTGAGGGCACAGAGAGACACTCATCACAAATGCTTCAGATTCAAGGTCAGTTTGGATTGTTAAGTCACCATTCACATAAATACATATGAGACAAACGCTGTTTTGGCTTTTCTTTTTATAAAATGTATTTGAAAGGCAGGTTTAAATAGAGGATCTGTTTACAAGAAGCAGTGCTTTTCAATACCCTATGGCATTCTACTTAAGAGGACATTTGTCTCACAACTGAGGCACAGAAGAGCGGAGTGCTGGATCACATCTGCCAGCTGCACCAGCTCAGCATCTCACCCTGCCATCACCCAGCTGAGTTCCCCCTCCAGGACTCAGGAGGGGGTTATCCAAGAACCCTGGAGCAGTCCTTCTCCCAGGGACCCACCCAGCTCCCTTCAGCAGGGATGCATCTTCAGATGCACCTTTGCAGAAGGTGGCTCAGATGTCCTCCCAAGCAGCACAACGCCACTGCAGCTGGCTTCTGCTGCACCCACATTCCTTTTCACTGACAAAAGGCAGAACTGTAACGCGAGCAGGAACATAACGCTTTCAGCATGAACTTTCATAGCTGTTGAATCACTGGTTTTTAGTTGCTCACAGAGCCAGACTTTCAGATTAAGCTGCGTGTAATCCCTTTACCTTGCAATGCATGGGGTCATATGCAGGTAGCATGTAACCTTCTGGTTTAAAATCTGCCTTCCAGCAAGCATGAGCACATTCTCATCAGTCAGCAGTTTAAGAGCAGACAAACTCCCACAGCCTGGAAAGCTCCATCAGTAGAGAGCATCCTTGTTCTGCTCTGCTTCTCATGTCAGGAGACACCTCCAGTCCCTTGCAACTCACACTCTACATTCTGCAGACCGCTTGCAGGAGCTGACTCACCCCCCATGGAGAAACCGACAGGCCACAGGGCTCAGCCTTGTCACAGCTGCACTGTGTCACCACACAGCCAGAGGTACAGATGGGCTACAGGCTGAGGGAAAGCAGCCTGGGTGCAAGTAACACCCTGCTTATGGCCCTGCATGCTTCCTTCTGTTTTCCCAGAGCAATGATGCTGGCTTACACTGCGCCAGGGAAATTAACAGAGGATCCCTGGTCAGCCTCAGATGAAGGCCTCCTTGTACTCCTTTAGTAGTACAGTTGGAAGTGGTTTGCCTGGTCAGGAATAAAGCACCCTGCTTTCTTCTGGGGACACCTTTCCAGGACAAGACAGTCCTTTCCTAAGGCTGGCCTGGAAGCAGACTGCAAGATTTAAAAGCCACTTCTGAAGGAACATTAACGAGTACAGCACTCTCAGGAAACAGAGAGAAGGCAAGAAAGACTGAAGTACAGGAGACAGATGTGAGGTCAGCTCAAAGACAACAAAGTAATTTCAGAGGCAGAAGCCCATGTCTGGCAGAGGTGCCTGGGTGTCTGGACTGCAGAGCCAGCCTTTGCCCCTCCTTGCCCCCAGCTCTCCCTCTGCTCACACTGACCATCTGGCAGCCACAACAGGGCATGTAACAGCAACAGAGCCTCCTCCTCCTTCTTCCCACCCAAGGGACAACCAAAGCCAAGTGCTGGGTGTAGCTGCTGCAAGACCTCCCAGGGAGCATTTCCAGATGCTCTCCCACAGCACCACCGCTCCCTGCCCTCCATCACCTGAAGCAGGCAACCACCTCCACAGCCCAGCAGGTTCATCCCTCCCAGCACCTGTAGAGCACAACACTGGGGACCGACAGGGGTTAAAACGTCTCCCACACAGCTCACATGAGTTACTTTTCATTTGAAAAACAAAAACCACACAGAACTCCTCAATGGGCTTTGTCCTAATTTTCCTGGGAAATAATGACTTTCTGTTATTAAATAATGTAAAGTGATTGAGGTGAGTCATAAAGCATTTGTATTAACACTAATGGATCCACGATTAATTTTTTTCCTCTATTTTATTATTATAAAACTTGTCAGTATCTAACCCCCTCTGCTTCCTCTGTCCTCCCCATCACATTTTCTTCTCAGGGGAGGTAATCAAGACTTCACTTGAATTCCTCATTACTTGAAAGGCTCTGCATCACAATACGATAATGGGACAGTTTCATAATTACGATAAAAATCAGGGCAAGAGAAAACTGGAGAGGCTTTCAGTCACCCAGAAATGAAATAATTGCTTCAAAATATGTTTTTAAATAAGGTAGTTTTGACTTTCTGCAAGGCAAAGAGAAACCAACCAACACACAGAAGTTGTGCATCGGCTTCACTTTGGGACGCCCACCCTCCCTCCCCACAGCACTGCTTCCTCCTCTGCCTCCCCAGCACAGTGCTGCACAACCACAGCTGCACCCTGCAGTGAGTGCTCTGCTTTTAAACGTTGTCTACAAAGAAATGAAATGATGAGAGGTGCCGTGTCTTCCTTTGAGTGGCTACTATGTAGTTTCAGGAGACAGATACGGTTTGTCTGTTTACGGGCACAAAGCCGGGCTGGTGGGACTTGGAGCACCCTGGTGCAGAGGGAGGTGTCCCTGCCCGTCGCAGGGGGTTGGAACTAGATGATCTTGGGGGTCCCCTCTAACCGTTCTACGATTCCACGCTTCACAGGATGCAGAATGAAACCCATAACCCTGCATCTTACCACTGATGCGCCTAGAGGCAAGCCACCTATTTAGGACAGCAGTTTCCCACTTGCTGTGGAAAACACCACAGGAGCTCAAGGTTTCTTGCTATTTTTACCCAAAGATCTGCAGGCTTACACGGTACATTTAAACCTCTGCCTCCAGGAGCGGGACGCAGGTGGTGGCGATGAGGAGAATTAGCCCTGCGCGCAGCTGTGAGATCCCACAGGACGCGAGGCTGGGTTAGACCTGACAAACATTAATGATTACCTTTATTATTCCTCCTAGAACCAGTCCAAGGCACCAGCAGCTAAAGATACGTCAAAGTCACCAGGCGTCACACATTGCGCAAGACTCCAAAGAAGCTGGAACGTGCATCTGAGAGCGAGAGCCCCGCGCTGCGGGACAAAGCGGGGCCGACAGGCGCGCAGCTGGGCCGCGGGATGGAAGCTCGGCTCGGCGCCGTTCCGCGTCTCCACACAGACGGCAACGCTGAGGCCTGGGGGGGCCGGCAGCCCCAGCTTCGGCCGGCTCAGGAGGGAGCGCAGGCGCATCCCTGGAAGTGTTCAAGGCCAGGTTGGATGGGGCCCAGGTTGGATGGTCTGGTATTAGAAATGGAGGTTGGTGGCGCTGCCTGGGGTGGCGGGGTTGGAACTTCACAACCCTTCAGGTCCCGCCCAAACCGCCACCCAGCAGCACCGCCTGACACCGCTGGGATTTATAACCCCGCCGTGAGGTAAGGCGGGACGGGATTGGTGGGTGTGAACAGGTGGCGGCAGCTGATTGGCTGAGCGGTGCTGCGGCTGCTTCGGCTTCGCGCCTCGGTCCTCCCCGGCCCCGCCGTGGAGGCGGAGGTGCTGCGGAGCGTCTGTGCTGCTCCCGGCAGAGCCCGCTGAGACGATTCTGCCGAGCGCATAATGCCAAAACGCCAATGGAGGCAACAGGAAGTTCTCGTTTAACCGCGAACAAGCGCGGTGAACTCCTGACGCTGCCCGTCCCTCTCGTCCTCCGCCCCTCAGCCGTCAGCTCACCGCTCGCACCGCCCCGCTGTCCCCGCGCCCCGCTTCCCTCGCAGCCGCCTCGCACGGAGCCCTCCCCAGTCGCAGCTCCATCCCCGCTGCCCGGCCCGGGACCCCCGGCACCCCTCCGCGCCCACAGAGGAGCTGCGTGCGGGGCTGGGCGGCGCTCGGGTCTGGGAGGCCGGCGGGCCCGGGGCCGCGTGGCGGGTGCTCGGGGCGGGGACGGTCCGTTCTGCTCTGCCCTGCGAGGCCCCGTCCGCAGCGCCGTGTGCTGGCAGGGCTGCGAGGAGGCCGTGAGCTCCGAGGCTGCAGCAGCTCCGAATGCGGGGAGGGCGAGGGGGGGTCGGCCTGCAGGAACGTCCTGGTGTCCCCCCGGGGCGGGCGGGGGCGCGGCCTGGCTGTACGGCAGCGCTGCTGTGTGCTGCAGTGGAAGTCGGCAGTGTTGCAGGCGGGATAGTTTGATCCAGGCTGGCACATCCAGGGTTCCTGTAAGAGAGCTGAACAAGGGCCCAGTTCCCTTCTGACAAGAAGGAAATAAAACTGTGGGATTGTTGGCTTTGACAAATGCTTTCCCTGACACATTCATGACTTTGTCTCAGCAAAGGATAATGGTATAGAGAGAGATTGTCTTTTTTTTTCTTTTTTCTTTTTTTTTTTTGGTGATTTAAATACAGTGAATCGACAATGTGATATCACCATAAAGTAGTTAAAAGAATAACATGACTGCGCACCCTCCTTCTTGAGTCTCTGGAGTGGAATCAGTTTAGATTGATGCGCGATAAAGGAACAAACTGTTGCCTGAGTGGGGCGGCTCTTGGTGCAATAGGCAGAGCTGTTATCAGACCTGTTAAACAAATAAAACTGTGAAGTGCAGACATTTTGTCTGAAGTGCACACGCAGCTTTCCAGGCAGCTGAGATCTTTTTGAGGAATCCTTGATAAAGGAACAAGCCTGTTCACGTTAATGGATATCATCAGGTGACGTTCTGAAAGGAGGTGTGAAGTGAACGGGGGATCTTTGTTCCCTGCACAAACGCATCGTGGTTCACAGCAGCGCTGCCTTCTCCAGGATAAGAGCAGAGGAGGTCAGAGCAGCCTCTGGAGCCGCGGGTTCTGCAGAGCATCCCACTGACCAGCTCTGCCCTTAGCCCACGCTATGGAGGCCATCCAGCAGAGCCCTGACCTTGAGACTGAGACAAGCAGAATCGCACACCAGTCACCTCAAGCGATCTCCTCCACTTCTCCTTCATGCCATGCGCATCTTTTTCATGAATTTGCTTGAGCTTGAGTGAGAAGAGAGCTGGGCTCCCCTCACACAGGTTTCTGGCAAAATTAGGTGATGTTCACGGCAGTGTTTTTCCCGAGAAAAGGACAGCAACAGCTCTGCAATTTGTTTGTCTGCCTGTGACAGGGAGAATTTTTCATATTACCATCAGCCCTGGAGTTCGAACATTCACCTATTGGAAAGATGTCCGGCTTTGAAGGATATTTAATCTTATTTGAAAAGAGATAATTAGGAAAACACACACAAACACATGTGCCACACGCTCACAGTCTCATTAGGGGCTGCTTTCTTCTTCGGCTGGGAAGCAGGGTTTATTTTTATGGCGGGGATGGATGGCGTTGTGCTCAGTGAAGGTGTTTGCGTGTGTGTGAGCATCCAGCTGTGTGCATTCATGTGCATATGTAGGTGCACATTTATGTGTCTGAAGGGGAGAGGTTTTAAGTTGTTGAAACCTGTGAGATTCCTCATCTTGCTTCTGTTTTTGGAAGCAGATTTTGATGAGGTCTCTCCCATCACTGCGCACAGAGCATCTAATCACGTCGCACAAAGACAGCCACAACTGACAATGCATCTCCCTCTTCCAGGAGAAAGGAAGAGGAGGACAAAATGAATAATTCAAATGATAATTAGCTGTGCAATTATTCCTGTTTTTAAAGTAACCTACAGGACAGAATATCAACGTATGAGTCACTGGCAAAGTATAAACAGAAACAGTTTGGAAGATGCTGTCCTGACGCTTTAGAAAAGGACTTGTCAGAGGCTTTATCTTCTGATCTCACTTTGGCATCAGGAGTCTGTGATGCAGTGACAGGCAGTGAGGGCGTGCGGAGGGGACGCAGGACTCTCGGAGCTGAGGTCTTCAGCTGAAGCCCGGTGCTTTGGGAAAGGAAAACCCTCTTTCCAGACGGAGCTGTAGTGCAGTGGACCCAGCCCCGACCCTTTCTGGTAGGGATGCATGCAGTCAGTCTGGACTTCAGCTATGCCTCAGACCTTCTCTTAACCAACAGCCTTCCAAGCTGCAATCACCTCTGATTTTTAAAACCTGGAGCGTCTCTCTATAACAGGAAACACGAAGCCTCTGTGGCTGGAGCAGCTCTCATCCAAGGAGACTCTGGGGCAGCAGCAGCAGCCGCCCGTAAAAGCAAACAGTGGGATGCCTCTTGGCACTGTAACACAAGAAGAGAAGAAAGATGTCTTTAATTTGCCTGGCAATGATCAATAAAGAATCAAATCTGACCTTGAATTTTAATGGCTCTGTACTAACAGAAAGCCACCTGCAGATGGATGGAGGAGAATCAGAGCCGCCAGGAGGAGGGAGGCAGGGTGGTGCTGGGAGCAGCGGGCTCACATGCTGTGCAGCCGCTCCTCTGCCACCACGGGTGGGATTTTCTGGGGCTGGCAGAGGAAGAATTGCTCCATGGTGGCAGTGGTGGGGACAGCCCCTTGTTGCTGCGGGAGGCAGCGTGACTCAGTGCTTCCTGGGCTTTCCCAGTGCTGCTTTACCCAGCAACTTTCATGAACCGTTTAAAAGCAAAGGCATTTTGACAGAAGTGGCTCAAGGGGCAGGCAATCCCTAGGGCCAATGCAGCATGGCAGCCCCCAGGGCAGGAGGTCTCCCTGGTCCCCATGGCATCGTGGCACCGTGGCCTCCTTGTTGCTCCGGCTCTGTGACGTGCATCAGATCTGCACAGGCAGACAAGATGACTGCATGCCTAATCCACGGCCCTCACATCGCTTACAACTGGCAGAGAATCCTTAAACAAAAAGTTACACGTGCACTTTTTATATATATAAATAAATGCAGATGAGATTGACCAGTTGAAATTATATAGCAGTTGTTAACATTGGCGTCTTTATTTGCTGCATCAATTGTATTTGATTTAATCTTGTTCCCACTACGCTGAAAACATTTGACTCATCTTCTACTTTTTTGTTGATACAGAATCATTTTGACAGTTATCCTGTTGGCTCTTTATAAATATCTGCACTTTCTATAATCAATCATAACACAAATCCAATCACCTTTTCGCTTTTTATTTGACCTTAATCCTAACAAATCTCCCACTGTTTTATTGAATTTGAGCTCATGAACAACAAATGAAGAAAGAGAATGAGGGAGTTTCCATGGCTGCCTGTCCGTCTGTCCGTGGGAAGGACAGCCTTGGGGAGCTGAGAGGAACCAGGAAAATGGTCTGTCCTGTGTCTGAGCCTGGGGTCCCGTGCAGGAGGATGTGGGGCACTTGGAGTGGCTCCAGAGAAGAGCCACAAGGATGAGCAAAGGGCCAAAGCTCCTCTGCTGTGAAGGAAGGTGGAGGGAGCTGAGGGTGCACAGCATGAGAAGGCTCCAGAGGGACCTGATTGCAGCCTTGCAGAAGGTGGAGTTACATACAGAATGTAGGCAGATTGTTAGGACGGTCTGATAGTGATAGGACAAGGGGAATGCCTTTAAGCTAAAAGAAGGGAGATGTAGTTGGATGTTAGGAAGAAGTTTTTTAGTCTGAGGATGGTGAGGCGCTGGCACTGCTGCCCAGGGAGCTGTGGGTGCCCCATCCCTGCGGGCTCTCGAGGCCTGGTGGGATGGGATCGTGAGCTCCTTGAGCTGGAGGCTGGCAGCCCTGCTGTGGCAGCGGGCTTGGAATTAAAATGATCTTTTACGGTCCCTTCCAAGCTGAGCCATTATATGATTCTATGATTCTATGAAAGTCTTCATCTGTTGTCTGCTGCTGTGTGTTCAACCGTCTGGCCAGATCCCTTGGCTTTTCATTTCTTTCCATCCATAAAAGTCAATGCACTGAGCACTGGGGAATTGAGAGAGATGAGGATCACCTCTGGCCACAACTCCTCTATCGTGTGGCAGGGATGCTTTAGGAGCCGTTCTGGACCACTTCATTGCAAGTCCTTCCCTTCTTCCATCCCCAAGAGGTCAGCATTTGAGGTTCACACAGAAATAAAGAAACAAAAACAATCCTGCAGTTAAAGGAGAGGGGAAAAGAAAAAAAAAAAAAAAAAAAGAAGGATAAAAGCAGGAGAAGCAACTTTGTCCTTTGGTGCCAGCAGCACCAGGCTCCTGTGGTTGGAACCCCAATGAGAACCGAAGTATCTTCATCATTATCTAGC